ATCATAGCTCACTGCAGCCTTGATCTCCTGGGCTCAAGTGATCATTCCGCCTCAGCCTCCCAAGCAGCTGGGACTACAGCCGTGCCACCACACCTGGCTAACTTTTTTATTTTTGTAGAGACAGGGTCTCCCTACGTTGCCTAGGCTGGTCTCAAACTGCTGGCCTCAAGTAATCCTCCCACTTCAGCATCCTAAAGCTAAAATCCTTTTAAAAATCTTTTTCCTCAGAGGAAAGATGTCATTTGTTAGAAGACATCTGAAGGAACCTCAGCTGACTGAACACTGATTAACTAAGAAGGCACTAACCTAATAACAGCAAATATCACTAATCCCACTTTATGTTTACGTCATTAAAGACCGGCCAATACGAAACACCAAGGCAGTGGTCCTAATATTTGCAAGTCTATCTCTTTTGAAGAGACAAAAAAACGGCACATTTCTGTCCTTCCTGCTCCCCCTCATGCTATCCCATGAGCAGCTAAAATATTAAATGCACGGGACCCTCCTAAGCCACTCATCACAGATGCCGACAGCACGCTGGGTTAGGATGCTGCTGAGCCCTCCCAGGGACTGGCTGGAGGAGCCACAGGAGCCCAACACAAGTTACCTCGTCATAGTTGGTGTCGTTCAGATCCTCATCATCATCATCAGCAGCCTGATTTTTCTTCATCTGGTCCCCGACGGTTCTCTTGCCTGGCGGTGCATGGCGATCATCCACAGGGTCATTCGCATCCCGGGCGGGCCCGATGTCTGACCGAGTGGTAAAGCCAGTGGCCCTGCAGGAGACCCCAGGGCACCTGTTACCTGGGAGACCCGGTTCCTGTGCTCTCCCCTCCACCTCCAGTCATCACCTAATAACATCTATCGAACACCTCTGGGAAACCTCCAAACATGCCGGTGACAGTCAGCTGCACCCTGAAGCACTACCTACCCTGAGGAGGTTACCAAGGCAATCTCTCTCCACCCCCAGGTTTCAATCACCTTCCCCTCCACATTCAACCAGGCTGTCAAACCCAACTTGGCCCAAACTGAGCTCCTCCTCTATGCTGACCCTACAGCTGCTCTGGGCTGTTTCAGCTAACAGCACCACTGTCCCAGGTGCCAAGGAAGGCACCATGACATCACCTTTGCCTCCCTCTCCCACCTCCTGCATCCTGTCTGCCCCCCCCGCACCCCCTCACCCCCACTAATGATTGTACCTCTAAAATCTCTCCTCCCCAAACCATGACTCAGGTGGGACCAAGTTGGCCAACCCTCTTAGCCTTCCTCTACTTCAAACCATGCTCTGCTAGATGATTCTTCCCAAACTGCAGCTCTAAGGAATTCTGAAGTGTCACTGCCTTTCTGATTCCTCCAGGAGCTCTAGCCTGACTTTGAAGGACCCTCTGACCTCCCGCAGCTCCACCCATGGATGTACATCCCACCTGCAGCGCACTCCTGAGGTTCCCCGGTTTTCCTCTGTGCCTTGCCTTTCTGTTAACTACCCACACATAAAGTATCAGTTTCTCTTCTACCCTGCCACATTTCCATATCCCTTAACCCAGCTCTCCTTCCGAACTGGGCTCAAATGCTATGCTCCATCGTACATCCCCTAATCTCTGGAACCCCAGAGTTCTAAATCTGTTCCTCCTTATGTACTTACTTATGCTAGTATCAAACCTCCCCTAGTAAAGTGTGGGTCCAATATGTGAGTCTTGGTTGAACCCCACAGATTATAATACAATACTACCGACAAGAGAAAACCAATAGTTTTCTAATCAAATACACAACCAAATTAGATGACAATGACTGTTTATCCAACAACTTATGGGGGTCATGTGTGGTAGGCTGGGGGGACCCAGGCACAAGCCTCACAGATGCCATCCCTGCCCCAGTGGAGCTGAGTTTGAACAGCATATGATACGCAAGGCTACAGGGAAAGAATGGGGCACTATGACCAGCCACACAGAGGAATCCAGCCCAGACTATATGGAAAGCATCAGTTATGCTGAAGAGGCAATCAGGCCGGGCACGGTGGCTCACGCCTGTAATCCCAGCACTCTGGGGGGCCAAGGCGGGAGGATCATTTGAGCTCAGGAGTTCGAGACCAGCCTGAGCAAGAGCGAGACCCCGCCTCTAATAAAAACAGAAAAATTAGTCGGATGTGGTGGGGAATGCCTCTAGTCGCAGCGCTTTCGGAGGCTGAGCAAGAGGATCCCTTGAGGCCAGGAGTTTCAGACCAGCCTGGGAAACAGAGTGAGACCCCTTCTCTACAAAAAATAAAAAATTAGCCGGGCATGGTGGCGCATGCCTGTAGTTCCAGCTACTCGGGAGGCTGAGGCAGGAGGATCGCTTGAGCCCAGGAGTGTGAGGTTGCCGTGAGCTGGGCTGACGCCACGGCACTCACTCTAGCCCGGGCAACAAAGCGAGACTCTGTCTCAAAAAAAAAAAAAAAAGAGGGGATGAGAGGGTAGTCACATGTTACTACTACACATCAGAGACCATCTACTCCTCACAGCCAACCTGCATACAGGGTTATTACCCATTTTAAGAGACCAAAAACCTTGGGCTCGGAGCCAATAAGTAATTAAGCCCCAAGTCAATCTCCCAGGTCGCAGGCAGGACTCATACCCTGGTCTATCCTGACCCCAAAGCCCGCTGTTTCCCACAGGAATTAAGCCAAACCACCTGGCGTCCTTCAGGCCGTGTGGCCACAGACCCCCACCCCAGAGCGCGCGCACCCCGCCCCGCCGGCTGGTCCCGGGCCCTCGACGCCCGCCTGGCCTCACCCCCGGCCCAGCCCCGGCACGTAGCCGAGAGGCGCGGGCATGCCCAGGAACGGCTTCTTCTTCTTGTTCATGGCGCCGATGACGACCAAGGCTAGGAAGGGAAGGAACCAGGCCGCGGCGGAGGCGAAGACGCACACACGTCCCAGGCTCCGCCGTCTGAGGCCCGCCCGAGGAAGGGGTCGCCGCCGACGCGTCACTGGCGTCCCGGAAGCAGAGCGCTCGGTCCGCGCGAAGCCCGCCCACCGCCGACTCCACCGGCGGAAGTCCCTAAGCGCTTCTTCTGACGACTTCCGGTTGCTGTCGCGGGGCGGGGATGCGGGCTGCGCGTGCGCGGGAGCGCCCGGCCGGGTCCGAGGGGGTGACTGGGCCCACCCCCCCTGACAATCCCTGGGGGACCCCAAAACTGAGCCCTGGGCGTCCCTGGCTCCTGCGTGCTCTTCCTGCATTCCCGAGGAGACCTGTGTGAAGAGAACCCACGGTCCCCTCCCTCTCTGAACCAGCCGGGCCTCCCACCCTGCGCTTCGGAGCGGCCCTGACCTGGGCAGGCCGCGATGACTTCCGCGCGGAGGCGCACACCTAGCTAGTTGTGTACAGCTCGCGTGCTGTGGCTGTAGGCGCACTTGTCTGTGCGTGCGTCCTGTGTGCAGACTGCTGCCCTGCGCTTTAAGCACTCAGATTCTTGGGCCCCAATTCAGGCGCCTGTCCCTGGAGGTAAACAGGGGGACTCCGGCCAGACCACAGGCTCCACCCACGCCCCCCACCATGCCTTGAACATTCTGGTGAGGGTTGGGGTTAGGGTTAGCCCAGCCACATCCCGGCCTCCTGGAGAGCTAATCGAAAATAAATGAATACAGCCAGATCTGTCAGGGTGAGGGTATATGAACATGCTGGTCACAAGCACGCGGGTGAATTCTGTGTGTGTGTATCAGTGGGGTGTGTGTACAGGTCAGATCACGTGTGCTCATGTTTTGGGTGTACGTGCATGACTGTATTCTGTGCATGCACTTCTGCATGTCCACATGCACTTCTGCTCCTTCTGCTGTGGGACATCTGCCAGCCCTCACATACACCTGAGAAGAGCATCAGGCTCCTGGGCAGAGCAAGCAAAACTCAGCTGGTTGCAAGCCTGGCCTTCTGCGGGACCAGGCAACCACGTTTTTCCTGCCTCCAGCCCCCCCAGCACTTCTCACTGAGGTCCTCTGGAGCGACACATCCCTCCCGCCCTCCTGCTACAGCCTCCTTGAAGTCCTCTCTCCCCCACTTTACGTTAGTGAGCACTGAATCGCCACCCCTCCCCCCGGGCTCCGAGCCAGATTCTGGGCGGCAGAGGGAAGGGGAATTCAAAGCTGGGGAGTAAGCAAAGGTGAAGCTGGCTCCGCTGGGGAAGCAGGTGCCATTTGAGGGAGAGACCTCCGGAGAGGTCTGGAGAACAGCTAAGTGAGTGAGTAAATTAATGAGGTAGGAGAACGGAGGGAAGCGTTTGGGAAGGGGTTGATCCGGCCCTTGGCCTGGACTCCGGTGTGTAGAAGGCCCTAAGGAGTAGGTAGGATGGGCCCCCCACACACAGAGGGGACTGACAATTCCTCACTTCCCAGGCTCAGAGGCCCCCCCAGCCGCAGGTGCACAGAGACACTCGTCCGTCCGTGGAGTCCTGCCCGGGTGCGCATGGACACCCTTTGCCCTGGCAGGCACCCTTTGCACACGCAGACCCGCGCGCCACCGACACACCTCGGAGCTCCCGGAGCGCGCCCGGCACACAGGGCTCGGCGGCAGGTGCCTCGCCGCGCAGACTCGCCGGCCGCGGGGACCGGCTCAGGCGCGGGGCCGGCTGGGGCGGGGCGGGGCGGCGGCGCGCGTTCCCCGCCGGCCACACCGGCCGCCCTGCACTCGGCGAGGGGCGTGTGCGCGGGCCTGGCACCGCGGGCCCCATGTTCACCGAGCTGAGGTCCAAGCTGAGCCCCCCGCGAGGCCGCGCCGGGGCAGTGCGCGCGGGCTTTGGGGAGCGCCGGGATGTGGACGGTGAGCGGGCTGGACAGGGGCGCGGCGATATCGCGAGTGGGGGTCTCGGGGACCGAGAGGCACGGGGGGCGGGCCCGGGTGGTCTTTGAGCAGCGGCGGTCTGGGAGCTGGGGGCGTCCTGGCCTAAGGAGGTCCCTGCAGCCTTTGTCCTGCGCTGGGGGGGCGGGGGGCAGCCTCAGGCCTTGAGGATCAGCGCGCCCTTGGCTTGGGGTGAGGGGGTGACAGGCCGGGACTCCCGTCTCCGGGCTGCCACCACACTCCGGTCACCTTTTCCCTCACGCGGAGAAAACCTCCCCAGCCCTTGCGGTGGGGCCGAAAGGGGGCCGCGGTCACAGCGCAGCTCGGGTGCCCCCGCCCCCTTGCCTTCTGGAATTCTGACGTTGGGGCTGGGAGGTACGGACCGACAGACGGACTGGCTGAGCTACCTCCCCGAGTGCGGGCAGGAAATGGGCGGGGCCCGGTTGGCCCGGGCAGGTGCCGCGCGGGCGGAGGCGTCCGGCTGGTCCCCGGCAGCGGCAGCGGCGCGCGCCCGCCCCAGTCCTGCTCTCCGGCCCCTGCAAAGACCTGAGACCACCGCGCCTGTCCGCTGGAAGGTGCGGGCTTAGAATAAGTCTTTTCCCAGGGCACTAGAGGCTGCCTCGGGGCGGTGGCCCACTGGCCACATCCTCTGCTGACTGCACACCCCAAAGTTGAAATAATTGGAAAGGGGGGTGCTAAGCCTCTGGAGTCCTGCAGGACTGGAAGGACAGTAGGACGTGGGTTTCCCCCGTTACTCAGACCTCCTAGACTCATCACCAAGCATCGCCCCCGGTACAGAGTGGGTGTCTGTGTCCGCGGGAGGGCGATCCTCTCCCTCTACTGCTGCTGGGGTGAGGGGAGAGAGGCAAGGGCCTTGACGTGGGGACCTCATCCTGCCCTGCCGAATCAAGGCCTGGGTGCTGAAAAGACGGGGCCAAGCCTGTGCCCCCCTTCCTGTCTCCTCCCAGGCTCTGTGATCTTGCAGACACCATGCAGAGCCTTCATTCATTCGTTCACAATGTTTCTCAGGTAGCCCCATGCACCAAGAACCAGGCGAGGCATCGGAATCCCACCCTGGGGTCTCATCACGGTGTCTGCCCCCTCCCAGACTCACGTCAGCAGTGACCCCAGAAACGAAGATAAAGCTAAAATGTGTTGAGTACAATGAAGTTGGAGTAGGAAGAGGGACCCCAGGGCATGGCCGTGGGTCCCTGAGCACATGGTCGCATCCTTGCCTGCCTGTGCTAAACAGCCCGCACCCAGCGGGCACCCACCATCCACACAGTGCTGTCCTGAGCCCGCGGGCCCTGTGGGAGGTGGCACAGCAGGAAAGGCCAGCATGTGTTTGGGGAATGAATTCCACTTATCTTGTCAGCTTGCCCACAGTTCAGCCTTTTTGTCAATGAGTCATAGTTGGCAAGCGCAACGTGGCAGGGGCCAAGACTCAAACACCAGGGTGAGGTCGGGGTGGTCCCAGGATAGCCCCGCTTGCCCGGCTGTAGGCTTGTACGGGGAAAGGTGTTTCCAGTTCTTCATCTTTGGGCTGGGTAGGGTCCTCCAGACAGCGTCTGCACATTTCCTTCTGCCTTCGGGGGCTTGGGAACCCCTCCCTGGGGAAGCGACTCCCCTCCCGTGGTGGTGGAGGGGAGATGAGCCAGGCAGGGTGCTGGCTCTCAGGGGCCGGAGCCTCTGGCCCTGCCCTCGACTGCTCTGACCAGTCACCCTGCACACAGCCACCGCCCACTTCAGCTTCTGCCGGACCCTCCTAGAGCACACGGTGTCAGCTGAGAGCATCCCCTGCCACCTGCCTCGGACGCAGGTCACCAGCCTCACGTGGCATGACTCCCGCAGCCAGAGGGCAGCCGGCAGCAGGCCAATCAAGCTCCTGCAGCAGCCGGGCACGGAGACCGCCCAGGTACCTACCCCTCTACCCACCTCAGTCCCTGCCCACCCTGCCCACCGTTCTCACTGCCACCCTCCTCTCCCACAGGGCCGGCTGTACTCTGACCACTATGGCCTGTACCACACGAGCCCCTCGCTGGGTGGCCTGACGCGGCCCGTGGTCCTGTGGAGTCAGCAGGATGTCTGCAAGTGGCTCAAGAAGCACTGTCCACACAACTACCTCGTCTACGTTGAGGCCTTCTCCCAGCACGCCATCACCGGTACAGCAGGACGGGGCGGGGGAGGGGCCAGGATGCCCAGGAGAGCCCCTCCCCCACACTCAGCCGCCTTTGTTTCTCTTGCTATTGTTTCCATCTCCTGTCTGTTTCCTCCTCTCTCCCAGTCTCTGTTATGTCTTCGTCTGCCTTTCCCTGCACAGTCTCCATCTTTTCTCTCCATGCCTCCCTCTGCCTCTCTCCCTCCAAGTCTCTTTCCCGGATTCTCTTTCTGTCTGAGTCTCTCTGTTGCCCTCTCCGCACCCCTTTCTCTCTTGGTCTCTGCCTTGGCTCTTGATGCCTCTGTTGGCCTTGGCTCAGCCCCTCTTCCCTCTCTCCAGGCCGGGTACTGCTGCGGCTGAATGCGGAGAAGCTGCAGAGGATGGGGCTGGCGCAGGAGGCCCAGAGGCAGGAGGTATTGCAGCAGGTGCTCCGCTTGCAGGTGCGCGAGGAGGGGCGGAGCCTGCAGCTGCTCAGCCAAGGTCAGTGTGAGGGGCCCGGCGGTGCCATGGCAGCCTGAAGGCTGGACTGAGAGGCCCCTCTGGGTGCAGGGTGGGTGGGGTGCCCTCAGGAGAGTGCCTGGGGGCCCCATAAGGGCCGTGCTGCAGGCGGTGCCAGGGACCCCAACCTTCTCACCCTTATCCACCTACAGCTTCCTTCGGAAACATGTCCTAGCTGTTGTCCAGGCTTGAACCCCAGACCCCAGCACTGTGACCAGAGCCCACAGCCAAGGACACGGCAGAACTGGCTGTGCAGCCCCTCGTGGACCCTGCCAGGTGCCCTGGTGGCCAAGCCTGGCTCAATGGACAGGCGAGACCAGGATCACCACCTCCAAGCGCCTCTGGCTGGGCATTCCAGGCTGTGCCCTGGGGCTGGGTGGGCAGGGAGCTGCTTGAATGCGGCCCCTCCTCCTGGGACCTGAGCCCAAGCCTGCCCCCAGTGTGCCGGCAGCATGCAGGGCAGCTGCCTGGAGCCAGAGCTGGAGTGGACGTGCCCCAGACTCCCAGGGACTCTGTTTATTTACATCCCCTACCCCACAACATCTGTCCCCCACCACCCGCTAAGCCACTCGTCTGCCCACCCCTCATCTAGTCAGCTCTGAGCCCTCCGGTGGCACTGCCAGCTGGCACAGGTGGGATAAACTGCTGTGGCTCCCTTTGCTTGTGCCCTTCCCCTGCCCCTGCCAGGGCCCAGCAGGCCCCACCCACCCTCAAGAATAATGGTCATCAGCTCCTGCCCAGCCAGGCACCATGCCAAGCACTTCCACTCACTCATTATTTATAAACCCTCACCACAGCCCCGTCTATTCATGAGAACTGAGGCCGAGAGAGGTCCGATGGCCCAAGCTCCAGGGACAAATGTGGCACAACGAGGACTGCAGCCCTGTCCAGGTGGCTCCACGCCCAGTGTCCAGATTCAGCAGTGCTCCCGACCCTATGTCTGGGAAGATCTTGCTTTTGTTCCTCTTCCCTGCTCCCACCTTCAAGGCACAGTTGTGCATGGGCACTCCCTGGTGGCTTCCCCAGGAAAGGGAAAGGATTCCCAAGAGAGGCTCTCCTGAGGGTCGCTCCCCCATGTCCACCCAACAGATGCCTGAGCAACCCCTCCCTGGGTGGTTTGGGGCTGGTGCTGCCTGGCAGAAGGACAGTGGCGGCCAGTGCTCCCTCTGGCTCCTCTGCCCTCTCCGACTCCCCTTGGGGACTCTGAAAATCTCAGGGACAGATGAGGCTGAGCTCCCAGTCCCCTCTATGTGCTTTGAGCTGGCCTCGGGACTCGAGGCTGGTCATCGCAGGTCCCGAGTGGAATTTGGACAACTGGCCTGACCTGGCCCTCCCACCCCGTGCACCCCCTGCGGGGAGCACCCTGGCCCTTCCAGCTGCCCAGGCATCCTGCCCACCTGTGCCATCAGCCTTCTTCCAGAGGGCCCTTCCTGGCTCTGCCCCTTTTCTCCCTCCTCCGTCTTGCCCTGCCCTTCATGATCCTGTCTCGTCTTCCTTGTTTTGCGCTCACTTTTTTATACTCTGACAAAAAATCAGAAATAAACCTAGTTCTCAAGTGCCCAGGGTGCTGGCTCTGGGAGGAGGGGGTGTCCTACACTCATGGCCACCAGAGGGCAGTGGTGTCGCATCCTGGAGGGGGCGTCCTGCTAACCCCAGGACGTCACAGGGGACAAGAGGCAGAGGCTGGAGATGTGGGACCAAGAGCCACAGGGGTGGCACCCGGTGCTGGGCACAACACCCAGACACACGATGTGTGAGTTTCCTGGGGTGCTGAACAAAGGGCCACGTGCTGGGTGGCTGGAAATAACAGAAATTTATTCTCGTGCCGTTCTGGAGGCCAGAAGTCCAAAATCTAGCAGGGCAGGGTGTCCCTGGGGGCTTGAAGGGAGGGTCCTTCCTTGCCTCTTCCAGCTTCTGCAGGCTGCCTGGGGACTCCTGGGCTCAAGGTCGCTCCAATCCCTGTCTCTGCAGTCAATTGCTGCCTCCTATTCTGTCTCAAATGTCCCTCTGCCTCCCTCTTATAAGGGACCTGGAGGCAGGCCCACCTGGGTAACACAGGATGATCTCCTCTTCTCGAGATCCCTAATCACATCTCCAAAAACCTTTTTTCCAAATAAGGTCCCATTCACGAGTTCAGGGATTCGATACGGACATCTGCTGGGGGCTCACCATTCAGCGACACCAGACATAAGGAACACACAGATTGCAGCACACACGGTGCCACACACACACACAGCAGCCAGACACACAAATAAGGACACGGAGGCAAAACCACACATAGACACAAATGCACAGAAACACAATGACACTGACATCAACAAACCCCAATACACACACACGGGTGCTGTTGGCAAGACAGACATGATGAAACCCTGACATGCAGACGCAAAGATACACAGCAAGGCCGGGCGCGGTGGCTCACGCCTGTAATCCTAGCACTCTGGGAGGCCGAGGCGGGCGGATTGTTTGAGCTCAGGAGTTCGAGACCAGCCTGAGCA